TACGGTGGCCAATTTACCATTTCAACTTTGTTGATATATCCAAACTATTCCCGTATTGAGTTTTATTCATAGATCATTTTTCAATTTATTATTACATACAATGCTATAATGGTTACATTTAAAAAAATATCATAGCCAGTTTTTTGTCAATGACGCAGTTCAGTGGTGCAGTCCTAGCGTGTTTAACAAGTCGTTTCATGGTTCTTTTTCAGACTTGTTCGAGGTAAGAAACGAAGCCTGGACAATCCTCAAAGAAACATTTTGAATGGAGAGTTACTTAGCAAGTTTCTGCAACTTGGCACTATGGAAAAACTTGAAGTTACGAAGAAAACTGGCACCACGCCAGCCCAGGTACGTTAAGCATCACCTATAAAATCGAGAGTGAAACAAAGATAACACACGCACATACTTGAGGTGTGACGACAAACAAGCAAACAAAAGACCATTTCAGTTAAAAAGTCGTCACAAAAGTCAAGCCTTGAGGACGTTAACAAACAAAAGGTTGGTTTGTTCATTGTGGCCATTTTGTTGTTCCGCTCACCGTATTTTTCCCTCGCGTTTTACTGCGTAATACTGCCGCGTAATTAGCGCGTTCGGTAGCCCTAATGTGGTTAAATAGTGAAATAGTGTCGTGATGCCAGATACTTTAAATTTGTCTCTGGGGCGTATGTGGAAATAACCTCATGGAAAATGTGCGCGGACATCATCATCCTTGCAGAATAGCCTTAGTGTGGTTCAAGGCTGGCCACTAAGCTTCAAAGCGAAGACGGCTTTAACTCACTGACATTTTTAGTGGGAACGGAGATTATGAACTGGCTTACGTAATCAATCACCTCAACCACTGGAATCCAATATCTCTGGTTTTTTGAGTAGTAATTTTTTACTTGTTTTAAAATAAAGTGTTCAAATAAGCAATAAAAACCAAATGATTCTCTGTGTGTGCAACAGCAGGGGGATGACGTTTCCTCCGGTTCGTTCATACATTGCAGGTGAAATGTCTTCGTTCGCGTTGATGATTGGATGAACGAATTTTTTTTGTTACTGTGAAATTTTATCGTTCGTACTCCTATCGGTTACTTGTGTACTCAGTAGGGAATAATTCTCCGTACCTTTGAAATAGAATGGTCACTTGGCGCGTTAATGCAAATCGCACATGAGCGCAAAGATTGGACGGTCTCAGTGTAACACCTCCTTTTGTAACATCCAGATTCTTGAGAGTCTCCCTTGCTGCCGTTTTTAGTCTCGTCACGCAACGCTCTTCCCCACAAGCATAAATTATAGGGAGGACCGTTGCGTGACGAGACTAAAAACGGCTGCGAGGGAGACTAGATTCTTGATGACTTGATGGNAACAAGCATTAAATTTAGCGAGCAATAGTCAGTCTAAGTGTCAGCTCTATTTTTAAGCCTCAGCAATTCCAATTGTAAATTGTAAAAAAAATTACGTCAGCCACTTACTATTCAAATAACTGTGAGGTAACCAGCTCAGTGACAAATTACGGCCCAACAACTCAAAGCATAAATGGAAGCAAACTATGTAACCTGAGAAAACGCTAGCACCAGCAAGAACAGGATCGAAATGAAAAAATAATAAACCAATGAACATGTTTATTGACAGCAAAGGATGTCAATCTTGTTTTTTTTGAGAAATGAACCAATAACATTAAAGTAAAACCACAAAGCTTACGGCAGAGAGAACAGACAAGTCTCGGACCTTTCATGATTGGTTAGTTTCGATCCTAAATTCATTGCATGCTCGTGTATGTTTTGATCACTTCTCTTTGTTGCAAGGACTACTTTTCTGTGTAAGTTATTAAAGTTCTTTCGAAAATTATAAGCGGATCAGATGAGTTAATACGGTAGAGATTACATTGTACAATACCCAGATTTTCTTTTCACCCTTTTTTTTTTGATTAAAGCGAACCGGTTGAAGTTGTTTCACTCGTGTTGCAAAAACTAAGAAAAAATATATAACCAGATTGTAAATCAGTATCTCGCATTGAAAGACAAAAGACTTTTTTTGTAGGGTAGTGGCAGTAGTAATTGAAACAGTTTTTTGAAGGTTTCTACTTTTGTTGTAAATATTGTCATTTTTTTACGCATTTATAGCGTGTCACTTGTATGATATAATGAAATAACAATTAGCTTTACTGCAAAATCACAAGATGATGCATCAGACTTTATCAGAGCTAAAGTTTAACCTGCCAGTACTTGTAAATGGAACCAGTCCCACATTTATCATTGTTAAATAAATATTGTTAAGTGCGTTAAACTTTGTGTTGTGATATATTTAGCCCTGATATTTAGACACAGCTTGGAAGCCATGGGAGATGGGTATGGCCTTTTCAAAATCAATCAAATTTATAAATTTACCAGAGAAATTGTCTCAAGGTGAGGGTATGAAGCCCCTCTTAAAAAAAACATTTCTCTATTTTAAATCAAAAATCCCTTCAGTAGGTTCCTGGCCACTTTAAGAAAACCTATTTACATTTTT